TGATCTATATTCTATTTTTGCAAGTATATACCGGGTGCGTCTCAAAAGTGGCTCACCCCTATAACTTTTATTTTTTCAGTATATAGAACTCTATCTAATCTAGATTGATTTACTTATTCAATTGTTTTCGGTCACTTCCTGTTTCACCGGAAATGACTACAACTTTTAATTTTTAAATGGCACCCTCGGTATTTTGGTACTTTATTCGATAGAAAATGACATTCTGACTAGAATCACATATTATACGTCAACTTTTGACATTTTCAAATATGGTTTATTTGAAATTGCAACATCCAGTTCATAACAACAATTTGACTCGAAATACTACCAATAAGTGTGTGGTATCAAATTATTCGTAAAAAATGCTTTTTCAAATATGCTAATGAGCCACCCTCGTTCCATTTGAAAAAAATGATTAAAAATACGATTTGGGCATTTTTTAACCGGCGAGGACAAGACATTAAAAACATTAGACGATCAAATATATCTTTTTAAGGCTCCTTGATTAAAAATTAGTGTTTTTAACACAGCTGTGACACTCTAGATTGACATTTAAAATACAATTTTGTTTTAAGCGAAAATGTCAAAAGTTGACATATGATATGACATTCTATTCAGGCTGTCATTTTCTATCGAATAAAGTAAAAAAATACCGAGGGTGCCATTTAAAAATTAAAAGTTGTAGTCATTTCCGTTGAAACAGGAAGTGGCCGAAAACAATTGAATACGTCAGTCAATTCTAATTTATGTCATATAGGTACTAACATACTAAATCTCGTTTTTTTTTTTATCTGAAATAATAAAAAAAGTTATAGGGGTGATTTCGTCGTAATATATAAAATAAAAAATATTTTTTACGTGTTTAAAGGAAAACTTTGAATGTTCCCCGACACCTTTTAAAATTAAGCTAAAAATCCTGCCTTCCGGAGATATTTTTTTCTCGGTTATTAGGTTCATTTTAACCCATAAATTCAATAGGTTAGTTTTGTTGGTTCACCCTAGCGTCCATTTTTCTCAACGCTAAATATAGCTGATGCCGGTTTATACAAAATCCTTCCTTCCTTTTTTTATTCAAGTTTCACACAAGAAAATTAAAAATTATTTATTTTTAAAAAAAATTTGATCTAAGAAATTTTGAAGCCACCGATTTCTTTCTGTATTTGCATCCGTTTTAGTGTCGTAACCATAGAGTAAAGTCGTAGCCGTCATAATATCAAAGTAATACCGTATGATCGAAAAAAAAAAACGACGTCCAGTTGGCTGGGAAATGACGATTGATGACATTTCTCATATAAATTTACATACAGGGTCGCTTTTATGTATGGAAACAGTCGATTATTAGGTAATATACAGGGTGTTTCAAAACAAATACGAAAAACTTCAGGGGGTGATTCCTTGTTCAAAATAAAGGGTGGTTTGCTTTATAAACGTTGGGTCAAAAGTCAACCATTAGGGAGATATCGCGGTACAAAGATGGCGGAAAAATAATGTTTTTATTTTTTATCTTGAAAACGAAAAGAGATAGACTAATGAAATTTTACGGAAGCATTACTGTTATGAAAACACACTTTCTGGTAATTTTTTCACTTTTTTAAAACGATTGGAAGGGGTTGAAATAAACTACTCCTATCATTCTTGTTAATGAAATTGAAAGAAAAATCTTATCAAACACATGCAAAAAAAAAATAATTTTGATAGTCTAGTTTATTTAGAAACTTTTTTATCTCTTGTGTTTTTTTGATAAAACTCACCGATTTGAAATTAAAAAATAAAATGTAAAGCATTAGATGTCAGGACAAAAAACATTTTTAGATAAAGAATCTAGTGGGCAGCTGTAATTTTTTTAGGAAAAAATCTAGTCGGCCGCTGTCACTTTTTAGGATGTTTCTAATATTGTTTTATTTGACCCTACTGCAATACGTTATTATCTAGATTATTATTATTATCATTATTATCACTAGATTCTTATCTAAAAATATGTTTAGTCCTGACATGTAATGCTTTACATTTTATTTTTTAATTTCAAATCGGTGAGTTTTATAAAAAAAATACAAGAGATAAAAAAGTTTCTAAACAAACTAAACTATCCAAATTAATTTTTATGCATGTGTTTGATAAGATTTTTCTTTAAATTTCGTTAACAAGAATGATAGGGGTAGTTTATTTCAACCCCTTCCACTCATTTTAAAAAAGTGAAAAAATTACCAGAAAGTGTGTTTTCATAACAGTTATACTTCCATAAAATTTCATTAGTCTATCTCTTTTCGTTTTCAAGATAAAAAATAAGAACATTATTTTTCCGCCATCTTTGTACCGCGATATCTCCCTAATGGTTGACTTTTGACCCAACGTTTATGAAGCAAACTACCCTTTAGTTTGAACAAGGAATTACCCCCTGAAGTTTTTCGCATTTGTTTTGAAACACCCTGTATAGGAGGTGCCGCCAAACTTTAGAAATAGTTTGGATATGGCGTTTGTCGCCTCAGCCTGAATATCTGTTGGTAATTTACTTATTTCGTTTTGAGCCATTTCTGGCTCCAATTCAATCAGCAATCGACACGAAAGAGAATTAAAAAATATTGACTCAAAACTGACAACTAAAGAGACAGCTCTATTTATTTGTCAAATTATATAGAAACCAAAGCCAACCCAGCACAATATTTTTGCTACTCGTAATAAATTCCTTGAAATAATAATTTCTGAATATTTTTTAAAACGTAACCCGCCATGGAAAAAATATTGTTTTATACACGACGAAAAAATTGCATTATCGTTTAACGAAATTAATCTTTTCGGTCGACGATAAAATACCATTTTATCGTCTTGTATAAAAAATAACTATTAATTAAATTTAAAATTGGTTTGTTGGTAAAATATTCTTCCAATGTGCGCCACTGTGTCAATATTTTTAGATCAAAGAGCCAGTAAGGTTCAATTTACGTAAGATTACTTTCCTCTGGACTCGACTGGATCTATGTGATCCCTCATTATTTATAACTGGTAAGCAATTAAGTAAACTATAAGATTTCACGCTGATTTTATCCCAATAAAACGGATTATCTATATTACAAGCCATATTAAAATCGTTTATCTTATTCCTTGTCCGTTATTTTAACGTTTTAAATACTATATTATTATAGTAAAAGATTATATTATTAAGGTTGATTCTCACTATACCTTCCCTTTCCATTCCACATCCATTCATTATCTGTTCCGTCTTTTTTATTAATTTTTTATTAATTGCAATACTATGGATTCAGGGGAGTGCCGCTCGAATGACTTATGTCATATCTTGGCAACAGAAGGTAGCTTGTGAGGATTGATACGTCTATGTCTTCTTGTACGCCTGTAGAATGTGGTGTCCCTCAGGGTTCAGTACTTGGCCCTATTTTGTTTCTAGTGTTTATCAACGACATTGCAAATCTAGACATTAGCGGTAAAATCTGCCTCTTTGCGGACGATACTAGTTTCACTTGGAGCGGCCCAAATATTACGGAACTATACTCTGTTTTTTTTCTCAGGTAAGATTTCGACAGACGATGACAGAAGAAAAGCAGATGACGTCTCATACCAATCTATTTATTTAACTAAAAAAAGTTTCTAATAATTTTTAAGTTAACTCTGGATGAGTTTAATTATAAATCCGTCATGCGTCGTCTCTTGTTGTTTTTAACCAGTTTTATTGGTTTATTTCAAAAATGACAGATCGTATTTCAATTTTATTGGTTTGACGGAACGATAAACGACAAACGGACACCGATGCGTATGAACTCGCCTTTAGATTTTTGTCATTTTTGACGCTTGTCAAAGTCTTGCCAAATTATAGGTTATAATTTTGTGTCAACTTTTGTTAAATACCCTGCGTTTTGGAAGATGATGCATTTTGATTCGTATTATTACGTGTGTTTTGTGTCTTTTGAAGTCCAGTGGAGGAAAAATCGAGTGAAAATTAACTGTAGACCCAGAGCACAGTTTATGGTTAATATTCGCTGCCCAGGCAGAAGGTCTTATACACCAATGAAGTTGCCATCGATAAAGTTTGTATACCATTTCGTCGTAGATAAGTGCATCTCGTATATGGTAGAAGGATCAAACAAAACACATACTAAAAACTGGAGTAGCTGTAAAATATCGACATCGCACGATAGGTAAATAATGGATTTTAGTACTGCAGAAAAATAATGTCAAAAGGTACCTATTGGTTTAAAAAAATTAAGATTAAAGTTAATTAATCAACCTTTAAGGTATAAAATTTGGTAAATGTTATTATTAATAAAATAGTTTGTTTTATTTATTCCTGCGGAATATTACAAATTTGTATTTGTACATAAGTTATATTGATAAATATAATCATAAATGCGGGAAGTTTCATAAAGCTTGAAAGTAAGATATAGTTCTTTTTTATATTTTTTTTTATATGTAGCGTCTTGTTCTTGTTTGTTTTGTATTAACACATACCGTTTTTTTTAAATAAAATAACTCGATTAGATTTTTTCAGTTTTATACAGTTTTTTCATAATATTTTGAAGTAATCACTTGTCCTTCAAATTTCACTGTCAGTCAAATTTTAAATATATTAATTTCCTGCTATGCGTTCCAGTTGTACCAACTTATTTCTTTGTAAAATAAAATAAACTACTTTGAAATTAAAATGACAGACACATCTATCACTGTCAAGGATCTTCTCGTTGGACAGACTTATATACAATACTATATCCAGTGACTTACGCACCATTAAATCTTGGTGCTATTCTAATCTCCTCTGCCTCAACCTATCAAAAACTAAAGTTTTGTCTTATAAAAGTACTATACAATCTTTTGTACTTAATAACACCACTATTGACGTCGTGGACTCTGTGAAATTCGTAGAACTTGTTGTAGACAACTCGTTAAAATGGGACTTGCACATCGAAGATTTATCAAAGAAACTAAGCGCTGTCTGTTTTGCGCTGCCTGCTGTTTCTAAGGAAGAAATAGTTTATAAGGAATGACTTTCTTACCGAGTTCGTCTATGATAGGCGCCATCCTGAGCGTGATCCCGACCAGCATCAGGCACATGAACATTAGGAGGCAAGCGGTGGCCACGATGGTCCATTTGGCCCTGGGGGGCAGCTCGTCGTCGTTAAGCACTTTGAAACTTTCGTTGTCCCTGGCCAGGGTGTCCACCAGGTGGGGGTTGAGGGCCAGCCGCTGCTTCAGCCGCCGTTTCCTACGTCTGCGCCGCTTTTTTCGCGCTCTGCGCATCTCTTCGCGGGCTATGATGGCATCTGTTTCTATGTCGCCGTAGCCGTCCATCTTGATCGATATGTACTCGTCGCTAAGTTGCATTGATCTGTGAAATTAAAAATAAATTATCCATATGAAGATCCATAAATACCCACACCGGAAAAGTCTAGGGATATTACAATTTTATCCAGCCATCGTCAGTAATTTTATTATTTGCATTTCTGATATAATAAAATTAAAATAAACAAATAGTTTACAGGACGTATTGGAAATAAAAATGCGAAATTTACCGAATTTTTCAAATATACCTTGATTTTTATTGAACTCAAAAAAATACACACGTTTTTTTTATTCTAAACTGTGAATTAAAAAAAAAAGATAAAACCATTTTTACTTAATAAAGGGTATAACCTCCTCTACTGTTCATTACAGCCCTACATCGTCTCTCCATGCTCCTCATCAGGTTGTCGATCTGTTCTTGAGGTACAGCCTGCCACGCTGCATTGGTAAGATGTAAGTGCCGGCCAGGGTAAGATGTTTAATTGATGAGCATTGATAAACTCACTTACCACCCTGGCTGTATGAGGCCGTGTATTGTCATGCATGAGAATGAAGTTCTCCCAAAATCATTGGCATATGTTAACACGACAGGCTCAAGAATTAAATCACGATATGTGATTCCTGTTAGAAACCTTTCAAGAAAAACGAGATCGGGTTTTCGGCAGATTGACCGGTTCTCTCCATACCCTAAGCCTTCTCGAATCCGGATGAATTCCAAAGCGTGACTCATCTGTGAAGAGAACATTAGCCCATTCTTCATTCGACCACTGAACATGATCTTGAGCCCACAAATATCGTACCTCTCGATTTCCTCTCGTTAAGGGTTGAGCTCTCCAGGGGCGTCTGCTTCTCAAGTTGACCACTCTTAATCTATTGCGAACAGTGTCAAGAGTAACGGTTACATTATGTGTTTCCTGGAGAATTAAACTAAGCTCTGGTGCTGTAAGAGTCGGTCGGCGTCGAGCATTTAATTGTAAAAAATGATCTTGCTGAGGGGTAGTAATGCGATGTCGCCCTATGTGCCTTTCAGCAACATCACCACTTTCACGGTAGCGTGCACTTAATCGCGATATTACACTTTGCGTTGTATTTAATGCTCTAGCTACGTCGATTTGGCGCATTCGAGCTTCGAGCATACCCATGGCCCTTAGCATTTCGTCTCTGTTAAGATGTCTACGCTCCATAATGTGGTTGTTTATTCAAAACATTTATTTTTAACTTTAATAAAATGATATCTGCAGAACAAAGGCACGAAGGATTTTAACAAATAATATACGTACAGTAGAAAAGTACATACCTTTGGCAATCTTCAACATAATTTGGCTTTGGAATAAAATGTATAAGCACTTGTAAATATTTTGTTTTCGTATGATCTCTGCCTTGCTGAGCAGAAAACGACCAAATTTGGTTGATAAAAATGTATCGAAATACAAAGAATATTCATGCATTTTTATATCAATTGGAATGTCTACTATTTATTCTTACAGTACACATTTTTTGGCTTATTTCTAACCAAACGCTTTTGTCCCGCTAAATTTATCTTCCAACGCACTGTCCGCTCGTCCGTCAAGTGCAAAAATAACTGTCACTGCTGTCACTATCTAAAATCTTTAGCGCCAACTTCAACTCGGTCATCAGATGACGTAAAAAAACTGACAGTGCAGAAAGATAGGAATCGAACTATCCTTATCTCTATAGTATCCTTGGGTACAACTGACAATTATAATATAATTATGTATAAACAAATTTAAATATTACAAAAACTATTAATTTTAGGTATTTAACATTATATATAAAAAAGTTATAGAATTTTACGCAGAATCTAAAAATAAAATAAAAAATAGGGTGTTGCATTTAAAAAAACATATGTTATATCCGCCACACATTTTTGAAAGACCCTGTATACTCTATAATAATTTTAACCTTTCCTATAATTTTTGTATTTAACATTTTTTTGTAAACTTCGAAACAAATGAGATAATGGACTTTACTCTATCGTTGACTCACCCTGTACAGCGTAATAGAATCTTAAGTACTTCAGTTTTCTGGCAAACATAATGGTCTTTTTTAATTGTTTTTAAAGCTCTTAGAAAAACAGTAAATCTTACCAAAATATTCTGAAAGTCTCAGTTTTTGTAGGAAATTTTATGTACTTTTAGGTAACGTAAAAATATTTGTGCGTGACTACTGTTGTTTTGTGATAAAATCAATTTTGTGAACCTTTGTCTAGGAGAGATTTTTAATGATGGTTAAAACTTGTTGTCTGTGTCTAGTACCGGTACTCGTATGGCCACAATGTTCTGTATTATCATGTTCTACGTACTTCAATTGGTAAATAACAGTATTTTTATTAAAATCGGTGACTTGTCCAAAATTGCCAATTTTTATGACTTTTTCATGATCGTTTTTGGCCTTTTTTTAATTTGTTTTAAGGCTCCTTTATACAAACAGAGAGACTATATATCTTTGTTTTTATAGGAAAGTGTAATATTAAAGGGCAAACTTTGAATATATATTTTTATTACAGAGACAAATACAATTGTCTCCGAGGACTACTCTATCTCCAAAGTTTATCCAGTTTTGTTTAGTCTAATATTTCTTTTTATTTTACTGATCGTGAAAAACAGAAATAACTTTCCATAAAGTTTTTTTATTCCGAGATAATATAGTTTGAAAAATATTTGCATTTCTCCATTTTCACCTACGATACTACCATACGATCGAAAAAAAAACGGCGTCACAGACAGCTGGGGAATGACAATCGATGATAATTTTGGAGAGGTTAAGTCCTAGACGTCATTATTTGGCTCCTACTCCGCCTTTTTTAATGGCCCTTACTGCCAGTTGGCCTTGAGAATGTTGTAATTTATTTATATTTTGAGTAAAAATGACTTTTAAATGTGTACCTTAAAATTCGAGAAAAAAAAAATTTTTAGAAATAGATTATTAAATTTTTCCATAATTAATGTTAATTTTTGTTTCAATTTTTAGTTAATGACGTATAGACATTGACCAGAGAGAACACTAATAACTAAAGTGAGAGAGACCGATCAACGTTAATTTTTGAAGACTGTGTTGGTGGCGCGGCCTTTGGCTAGACGCCAAAGGCCGACGTCTAACCCGAACTATGAGCGCATTATCGATATAGTAGGTTGCATTCATACCTATATACTGGCGCCAAAAATTTAAAATTTGTATATTTGAACCGAATCTTAATCTTTCAAGTTTATAATAAGAAATCTTCGTAGTTTTTTTTTAGATTATTTTGTTGACAACGAAAATTTATTATTAGACTTTAAAGCATTAAAACCTATAAATAAAATACTGTGTAGGAACATAATAATTTATTTAACTCCATACTCCTTGCCATACTCCAACTCAAGGCTGCAATCTTCAGTATCTTTTTTATCTAACTTGATTGGGAGTGAACAGAGCACGTTTGGGAGCTCGCATAGAGTATCAGTAGTTATCCCGTAGGTATTTAATGTTTTTGATAGTCTTTATTCTATAACAAGAACCTAGCAGTTAAAGAAAATAATTTGTATTACTGGAAATAATACCAGGTAAAATACCTAGTCGTTCCATAGGTATCAGAAAAGAATGTGATGTTTTAAATTAAAAAAAATAAATTAGCAATGTACGATTATTATGTGCCCTCACTATTACTATTAGGTATATTAAAATAATTACCGAGATAAAGCTTACCTTTAAAGGAAACGTTTTGTCTGGGTCTCAACCACAAAACAAAAATTACAAAAATGCCGAATAATCGTGGAATCTGAAATAATCAATTATGACAATAATCTTCTCTTCTGACCAGGGGGGTGACAGTAAACCGGAAAATTGAAAACAGTTGTGGCGCGGTTCTACCCAGGCAGAAAGCATGACCTTCTAGACTGTCCTAGACAAAAATCCTGAATATTTCTATATGATTTCTGTCAATTTCTGCTACGGAACATTTTTATGCACGTCGGCGTCCTGTTCTTTTGTCTTTTGTCTGTGTGTCAGCGGCAGCTCCCGAGGCCTCTGGCAAGGTCGGGCGCCATTTTAATTTTTGCCGTTTAGATTTGATTGGAAGTTTGTTTCTGATATTTCGGCTGAAATTTATAAGTACAAAGATGTTTTTTGATATAAAGTTCCTTGTTAACACTTTAATAAAGTATATATGATATTAATTACATGAAGAAAATGATGAAATCGACGTTTCTGCGTGTAGCAGGTATGGGCCATATTATAGGTAAAAATAGGTAATATATTAACGGTTTTTATATTTATTGGGATATTCTTTGCCAAGGATTTTTCCGTATCTCTACTTTAAAGACTGATCGGTGATTTTGAGCAATTGAAAGCAAGTTATACAAGGTAAATTATGATTATTGAACTATTATTAGCCTACATTAATTTTCTACAAGATGAACAGAAATGCGTAATTACATATCACATAGGTACCTATTATGTATTTTCATAGCAATAATGCTATAAATCTATGTATGTAGATTATTTTTAAAATACAAATGAGGTATTAGATGTATATGTATCATATTTTTTATTCATTTTATTTTCATTCAAGTCCTGTTTGATTTAATTCACAAAAGTCTTATGTAGGTACCTATATTTATGTTTTTTACATATTTTTTTTTGATTCCAGGTTTTGTGTGGGTTCCGGTTGCCTTTTCCTGCTTCCAGTTATTTAGTTTTATGCCCGTGAAGCTGTGAAAACATTTATTTATCTTCAAGTTTCTGTTAGTCAATGCACTGTTACTTTACTAATTCACTTTAACACAGCATCTCTGATATTATTTAAATATTTGATATTGATACAGTAGTTTATTGGTTTATAGCTCTTTAATTGTGTTGATTTGCATATTTACATTGTTCTAAATTCCAAATAAATATTTTTGAGTAATTTTGTTGTATTATTTACTACTAGAAAGAGTAAAAAGTATATTAACCCTCAATAAAACCTCCTGAACAGCCCGCCATTAAAAACCGGAAACGGAAATAAATTTCATAAAATTGAAATTGTCATGTCTATGTCATGTCAAATGTCCCAGCCGCCATATCTGAAAATTAGTTACCCAGGCAGCCACGCTGTTTCCATAATTTAACATTGACTTGACACTTCTTCTTGTATTTATTATTTTATGCTTCTGACAAGCTAAAAGAACAGGCACATTCAGTCAAAAACAATTTATTACTCCGATTTGCTCCGATTATCAACAGATTTTAGTTATCTCCTTCTAGAACTAAGAAATAGAAAAAGCTACTGACAATCTAATTAATCCTGTCAAATGTTTAACTTTGAAAGTTGAAAACCTCCTTTTTTGACCGCCTAAACGCTATGCGCGTCTGGGATGCGCGGCGACAAAATAAACTTGTCTTCGAAATGCCCTATTCCACAAGCCCTCTCACTTTAGTTATTAGTTTCTCTCTGACATTGACTTTACTAAAATTATTATTGATTGTCATTCCCCAGCCCTTTTTGACGCCGTTTTTTTTTATCACACGGTATTATTAACCTATTATTACTTACACTGGAATATGATCTCTGTTACAGTAACACGTATGTGATTGACAGCCTGCTTCCATACAAGCTGTGCTCTTAAATTGGTAGCTATTTCCAGGATATTTACTAGCATCTTCTCCATGAAGAATTTGACTATCTGGTGATGATGTTTCTTGTCTTAAAACTACAAAAAATAAGTTTATTACAAATATAGCAAATGGACAATTACACATTGGACATAAAATGAGATACCTAGATCACACCAAGATCTGATAAATGATCATTTTTACCTTGTCGTTTGAACTGTTTGCTTCCAGGAACCGCTTTGGGCGATCTGTCTTTCTTCTCTTTACGCTTCGTGCCTTTCTTCTTCTCACCTTCAATCTTCAAAGTCGTTTTTGGCGACGCGTGACATTTGAGTTTGTTAAAAAGGTTTTTTGGACTCGACTGGAGACTTGATTTCTTTCCGTTTTCATGTTTAATCGATTCGACTTTGTTCTCCACCAGTGTGTTTAGTATGGCGTCCAATTTTAAGACTCCTATGGCAGTTGGAACTAAAAATGTGGCAGAAAGTTTCTTGTTGAACTTATAAATTGAAAAGGAGTTTATATAATAACACAAGTTATTTTAATATGAAAATTTTTATGTCTCAAAAAGTGTAAAATAAAATAGGTAGAATATTTTAGCATAATATTTTGCTGAATATGCTTAATCCGGAGTTTAACCTTTAAAATTTAAATTTGCTTAAAAGTTATGGTGTGTACTTACTGTCTTCTATGCATAGGTCTTCTGTGGACACTGCCTTGTCCAGAGGCATTTTAATTTAATTTTTCTAATTTTTGGTGGGGCTAAAAAGTAAAATAATTAGTTTGTGAAAATTTAAAGTTTTATTATTAATCATCTTACAGTTATTAACGATACAAGTTCGATACAAACATCATAATGAAACGCGTGTAAAATTAAGACATGAGGCGTTAGCCGATTTAAAATATCAGAGTTATCCTCATATAAATAAAAATTCAAAATTATCAGGTGCCCATATTAGTCGACGCCGTGGTAATCGTGCTTGTTGATTGTTTCCATTTTGACTTTGACAACTCAATTATTGATGTTCAATTTTGTGCTAAACGTTCAGTTTTAGCAAAAAGCAAAACAAAAATAATATTAGTATGGGTGATTCTGATTCTGAAAGTGTCCCTTCGGATATTAAAGGCATTGCGTAAAACATTGTCGATTCCCTACTTCCCGAAAAATCAAGACAAACGTACGAGCAAGCCTATGTAAAACTTGAAGATTGGTGTAAAGGGAAAGGAATCAAGAATAGTAGTAACGAAAAGGTTCTCCTGGCATATTTTGAACATCTTTCAAAACATAGGAAGGCTTCATCACTTTGGGGATATTATTCCATGCTACGTTCAGTTATATCAGTGAAGAAAAATACAGATATTAGTAAGTACTTACATTTAATTGCATTTCTAAAAAGAAAATGGGAAGGATTTTGGTCAAAAAAATCGAGAATTTTAAGAAAAGAAGACATAACTTGTTTTTTGTTGGAAGTCGATGATAAAACTTATTTCCTGACAAAAGTTTCATTGATAGTGGGACTTGCGGGAGCCTGCCGGCGCGGCGTCTCGAGTTGACAAATCTGCAGCTGAAAAATGTTAAAGATGAAGGACAATGCATTCATGTCATTATTCCATTTACGAAAACAAAGATATCACGAGATTTTTTTATAACGAAAGGGAATGTTGAAGGAATAAATATGGTGAAAATGGTTCGAAGATATATAGCTATGCGGCCAAGCAACACAGAGCATACTCGATTTTCTGTTGGGTACAGAAATGGAAAATGTATTAAGTAACCCGTTGGCATTAATACTTTAGGAAAAATGCCGTATAAAATAGCATTGTTCCTAAGTCTTCCAAATCCCCAACAATACACTGGACATTGTTTCCGTAGATCGTCTGCGTCGTTGCTTGCAGATTCAGGAGTGGATTTATTAACTGTTAAAAGACATGGTGGTTGGCGCTCTAACACAGTGGCAGAGAGCTATATAGAAAATTCCAAAGAAAATAAGAAAAAAGTGTCACGTAATATTTTGGGTAACATTTCTGGCAATGATGGGTCTTCAACAAGTTCAAGCACTCAGGAAATAAATTTACTTTCTAAAAATTCAACTCACCTGTCATCGTCTGGAATTAATTTAACCAATTGTACTGATATCATAATTAATGTTTACAATTAATAAACGTATTTAGGTACCTTTTTTTGCTTGTTTCTTATTTTAAAATTTACGTGTTATTATGGATTCATAATAGCACTAGTGCTATTATGAAAGCCATTATGACATCCAAATGACAATGTTAAATGTGTCATAATGACATTGTCGTAGATTAAAGTAATTTTTATATGTCCCCGAATTTGTTTTTACAAGAGGAAAAACTTCTTTATTATTAATATTTTGAGAAAAATGCATTCTCCTTAAACATTTTTGCTTGTTCTAAAATGGTTAATTCCGTTTGTTGTCCAAACCACGTATGCAGAATGCAAGAAAACCGCATACCAAAATCTCTGCTTTACGGTGAGCTTGTGGACGGTAAGAGGAGGCCGGGTGGACAACTGAAAAGATACAAGGACATTTTCCACGAAAATTTAAAGGGAATTAACATGCAGAATGAGTGGGAAAAAGCAGCTCACAATAGAACTCAATGGAGAAGGGTTGTAAACTCAGTTAACAGCGGCAACCAAAAAGTAGAGAGGCAACAAAGCAATGAGATTTTTGAATGTCCGGAGTGCGGTAGGCAGATAACATCACGTATCGGGCTTTTCAGTCACAGAAAAGCTCATGAAAGAAAACGCCTTGCGTGACCATTTTCTTTATGTGTGTCGAATACTCGTCAGCGAGCAACGGCTGTATGTATATGTATGTATGTAATTCCGTTTGTACTTTCCCAAATTTCCATACCGTTTTAGAGAAAATTAAAAAAAAAACATGACTTTGTATTATTTAATTTGCTGTTATATTTTAATGTATCTACCATTTATTTTGGGTCCATACAGCCATACAAACAACATTAGGTCTACGCAGTAGTTCTTTATTAAAATTATTTCAAATAATTATTTATTTAGTCATTAATGTTTTACAGTAATAAGTAGATACCACTAGGTAGTATCTACTTATAATAAAATCACAAAATCTGACTACTACCCATCCATGGATAAAAAAAGAAGATAGTAAAACTAGGTCGAACAACAAAAAAGCACTCTACCCAAACAAAACCCAGAATTGAGAGAAGTAGACATTGTTTATCTTCTCGAGGTAATTTAGTCCATTATTTTTTCGAGTTAGACAAATAACAAAGCATCCCTGTGTAACAATTCAGTATAAGTACTCGGGATTCTAATTAAAAGCATCTCATGTTCTTTTATACTTTTCTGACTACTGTTTTTTCATTGTCATTTTTTTGGTATCAAAAGTAGCAAAAGTATTAATTTTTATGACGTGATTGACAATAAAAAATAGCTATTTATGTAACAAGTTGCGAAATGAATGTGTTTTAAGCACTGGACGCATAATTGTCCAAAGAAGCGAAAATCGAGTTGGACAATGCGTTGAGTGCTTAAAACATTCTTTTCGCAACGAATTTCATACAAGATTTTTTGTGAAAGCGGATAATTTTTGGTGATTTTCATACTATTATTATTATTATTTATTTTTAAACATTTTTTAAAATGTTCTGGTAATCGGTTTCTAAGGCATTGTTTATGCCTTGTTAACTGACAAAGTTCTGTTAGGTTCAAACGTTGCCGTATTTCCTACAAAGTTTTGTGAAAAAATGAGTGATAATGACGAGTCTTTGGATATTCAACAAGCTGCTGAAACTGCACTATCCACGTTATTACCCGAAAAGTCGAAAAACTTATACGAGACCACCTACAACAACTTTGAAATCTGGGTCAAAGAAAAACATGTTGAGCATTTTACAGAAAAGGTATTGCTAGCCTGTTTCCTGAAGTTATCCACTACCTTAAAGCCGTCAACTCTGTGGAGTAAATATTCGATGCTCCGCATCATGATTTACCTGAACAGAAACGTAGGTAGCAAATTCACAAACCTTATTGCATTTTTATAATCCGCTCCGAGCTTCCGGATATCAGGCAAAGAAATCAAAAGTATTTACAAAACTGGAAATAGAACGCTTTATGAAAGAAGTCGATGACAAAGAATTCCTGTTAGCTAAAGTTGTCTTAATCGTTGGAGTATTTGGAGCATGTAGGAGGGAAGAAATCATGTTTTTGACCGTAGATACCATTAAAGATTGTCAGTCATTTATTAGTGTGAAGATTCCGAATACAAAAACTCATTTTCCAAGAGTGTTTATGATTACTGAGGGACCAATAGATGGTATCAATTTCTTACATGTATTTCGTAAGTACGCAAAACTTCTACCACTCAGTGTCACTTTTAGATACTACTGCCTAAAAGAATGTAATTTCGAATCTCAATTCAATTTCAATTTAGCTGTTCATGAACCCTCTTTCTCAGTTAAAAATAATATTGAATTCATTAACAAAATTAAAGATATAACCACTATAAGATTGCATGAAGGTGAAATTTTGGTCTCCTTTAATGTATCTTCGTTGTTCCCAAGTGTTCCAATTCCACATACTTTAGGCTACTTGAAGGAATTACTGAACGCAAATGGTCTCGACAACAAAACTGTGATTGAATATATTGAGCTTACATTGTTATGTATGAAACAAAATTGTTTTCAATTTAATAACAACTTTTTTGAACAGCGGGAAGGTACAACAATGGGTAATCCATTGTCTTCATTTTTGGCTAATTTATTTATGAGCAGGTTTGAAGTGGAGGCTAAGAATCAGTTTGAGTATTTTCCAAGAGTATGGTTTAGGTATGTGGATGATATTTTTGCTGTTTTTGACACACATTCAGACACCATAGATAATTTTGTTTCTAAGTTAAATAATCGTTTTCCTTCCATTAAATTTACGCGTGAAATTGAGAACAACGACAGATTACCATTTCTAGATGTATTAGTTATTAGAAATACTAATAATTGCCTGGAATTTGATATCTATAGGAAAAATACCACCACACGCAGATATATTCCTAATGAATCACATCATAGTGTTGAACATAAAATGGCTAGTTTAAATTTCTTAGTTCATAGATTACTTAGTTTTCCACTTTCCAGCGAAAGATATGAAATAGAAAGAGATTACATTAGGAGTGTGGCTGAGTGTAATGGTTATTCTCCTTCACTAGTTGATAAAATAATTAGAAAACGTAGGTATAGGTTAATGATTTCTGAAAATTCGACTTTTCAAGTGGAGAAAGATACGTCAAAATATTTTTCAATACCGTTTGATAGAGAGTTATCCCGTGGTCTAAAAGGAATTTTTAATAATGTCAATTATAAACTTGTGTATAGTGCTAATAATAAATTACAACAATTATTAGGTAATCCAAAGGATAAAACACCTCCACTGGAAAGGTCGGGTATTTATGAAATTTCTTGTAAAGATTGTAATCAGAAATATGTTGGGCAAACTAGAAGATCAATACTAACTAGATTAAAAGAACATATAGCTCAGATAAGATATGGAAGACCGGATAAATCTTGCGTTGCCGAACATATTGTTGATAAAGAACATTGTATAGATCTTAATAATTTAAAATTAATTAAACAAGTCTCAAATTACAGGCAATTAGATGCATATGAAAGCATCAGAATTAATAAATGTAAAGATAGTATGAACAGAGACAACGGTCCAATTCCTTCAAGTTCTTTGTTCCTACTACTCTAGCGACGGAAATTTAACTGTTACGCTCGGTGGGCTCTGACTCGGTTGGCTAGATTTTGCCACGCCCACTCGGTGCCCACTGAGCGAGTATATAAACGCTCAACTTGTAGATTGTATTTTAGTTTATAATCATCTGCTGATGATGCTAACATGGTTAGCGAAACGCGCGTCCAGTGTAGAAGTAAAAGTGTTTTGGTGTATTGTGGTGATTAGTGTTTTTATTTTGCTGTGTAACACCAAAGGTTCCAACCTTCAAGTGTAATATTATTAAACTGACATGAAGTGTCAAATTCAACGAGCGTAACCATACTTTCTTGATATATAATTACATACAAGGTATGACTTTTAAATCTTTTTATATTATCTCGATGAGCTAGCTAGGCACGGATCATTGGCATCATATCTTGGTCCAGAGCCAGTACTGCGAATACCCAAATATGTTGCCCGTAGTGCACTAAAACTCTGGATCAGGGAAAAGCAGAATGTCCACTGGAGAAACAGACAGAGGCACAGGCACAGCAATGCCTTTATCCAAGGAACTAGCTCTAAAACCGCAAAAGAACTGCTAATGTTTAGCAGGAATAAAGTGCGGATTACAACAGGCTTTTTGACAGGACACATGGCTGTCAAGTGTTACCTGTACAAGCTCAACCTGTATCAAGGAAGTCTTTGCTGCAGACTTTGCGATAAAGATCTTGAAACAGCGGAGTACAGGCTAGCCTAGCTGGGAAAGCTAGGCTAGAACCGGAGGAACTACGCTCCCATCTTATCAAGGACCTGCATAAGTTCAGTGCAGGGTACAGGGATAATAGAATTAGTGCAGATACAAAAAGGGGACAAGCACAATAGGCCTCACAGGCCGCAGTGTTTCCGGCAGAGGATTGGCTCCTTGTTATTGAAAAAAAAAACAACATTCTTCTATATATCCAAAAAGGATAAAGCGTAGTATAATAAAGACATTAATCAAAGAAAGATGAATATAGAAAATTTTGACGAAAATAGATTTAGCAAACAACGAATGTCAGTGATAGCTATAAATGTCGAACTATTTTTAGTATTATACGTTTTGCCATAAAAACAAAAGATTAATCGCTGTAAGATGCGATGAGCAGCTTTTGTTTGGGTTAAGATTTTCATGAAAAATACAGATAGGAAAATCTGAGTCTGTGTTATATGAGCGTAATAAAATTTTATATTTCTTTTATATCCTTTTGTTTACTGGACTTATTTCTGGACATGGATGATGTATATACATTATACATTATAGTTGTATGGGTATAATAGCAATCTGGCAATGGAAAGAAAAAAAATAGAACTATAATTTGATTCTAAGAATAAAGATATTAAAATTTATAATAAGAATGGAAAAAATATGTTGGAAGCAAAACACCTCTATAACTTTTTTACTTTTTCAAATAAAAAAACGATATTTGGTATGTCAGTATATGACATAAATCAGGATTGATTGACGTATTCAATTGTTTTCGGTCACTTCCTGTTTTACCGGAAATAACTACAAATTTTGATTTTTAAATGGCACCCTCTGTATTTTTTTACTTTATTCGATAGAAAATGACACTCTGAATAGAATATGTCAACTTTTGACATTTTCGTATATGGTTTATTTGAAATTATAACATGCGGTTCATAACGACAATTTGACTCGAACTATAAAGTGTATGGTACCAAATTATTCGTAAAAAAATGCTTTGTCTAAATAATATGCTAATGAGCCACTCTCGTTCCATTTGAAAAAATTGAGATATGATTAAAAATACGATTTGGGCATCTTTTAGCAGGCCAGGACAAGATACGAAAGACATTACACGATCAAATCTATTTTTCCAAGGTTCCTTGATTAAAAATTAGTCTTTTTAATACAGGCAATGGCACTCTAGATTGATTTTAAAATATGATTTTAAAATTCATTGCACATTTTTTAACGTACAATAGCTATTCCATTTTTTTGTTTGGTATTTTTTGAGTATTATTAACTTAAATTTTAATATCAAATAAAACTATAATTTCATATCTCCAAGCTGCATGTTTTCTATACCTCTTGCTATAGTTCTCAGCGATACAATAGAAAAAATTAGGTCATACATTATAACTTATCTACAGACTGTAATAGACAGTAATAATATTGAATTTTTCATGTTTAATTTATTTTATTTTGTTAAAACCAACAGGTAGTTTATAGAAAAGTGTTTTTTTATAAATAACTGCAAACTATCATGGAAATATGTATGTTTTAGAATAAAAAAATACGAAAAATTGTTTATTTCTTTTGTGTAGTAAATTTATTTCAGAACTTAAGTCTCCAGCTTTAATTTTTATGTTATAGGGTCATTAATTTTGGACAAAAATAATTATAGACTAAAAAATATTATTAAAAAAACAATTTTCTCCTAAATATTTATCTTCAGCACCAATTTATTTTTTCTTAATTATTAGGATAATGTTACTACAGCTACTTACAACAGGTCGTGCGTTGAGTCCCAATGTTTACTTTATTCAATTCTCCTAAACAGAAACCTCCACAACGATCACCGGAAAGTCAATTTTCTCACTAAAACTCACTGGAAAATTCCCTGTCCATGAATATTTCCTTCAGGAATGCACGTATTTTCTTGCTGCTGTAGTGTTTCACTTATCTTTGCCGTTTCCTCGCTGATTTTCCTGGACGCGAGTCCTGTCCAGGATAACGGAGGCAAAGATGCTGTTCCGAGGTTAGTTACGTTGCGTGCCGCTTCGATCTGGGGGGCGCCACTTGCGGGAAAACCTCCATTAAGAGTCCCAATCGTTGGGAAAATACGGTGGTGTTATCGCCAATAATTACGGCAAAGAAAGAAGATAATTACGGAAAACAAGGATAATTTTACTAGGAAAAAATAAGAATAGGTTAAATTATTTTGTTTCTTAATGAATTAATATAAGCTTATATCGTCTTGGTTAATTAAGATGCCACAATGCCCTCTGTCTTTTATATGTAACGGAATTATATGTCGGGGAAGGGATCATAGTTTCATAGTTGTCGATTTTCGAAAGAAGTCAGTACATGTATATTATTTCGTATATTTTTCATTTTATTGAGTTTATGGAAAGCACTGTTCATTAAAATGTTGTATCCTACGTTATAGGGCTTGTTTTTCTCTACAATTTCCTGTTTCACAATGTACCGTTTGTGTCCGGGAAGGGTTCATGGTTTCATAGTTGTCGATTTTCGAAAGAAATCAGTACATGTATATTATTTTGTATATTTTTCATTTTATTGATTTTATGGAAAGCACTGTTCATTAAAATGTTGTATCCTATGTTATAGGGCTTGTTTCTCTCTACAATTTTCTATCTCACAATGTACCGTTTGTGTCGGGGACGAGATCATAGTTTCATAGTTGTCGATTTTCGAAAGAAATCAGTACATGTATATAGAGGGTTGTTCACCACATACGACACGGAGTATTGTAGCTAAACGATGAAATTTTGCAAATTGTAAGTTTGGGGTTCGTTGAAGGACTATTAGAGCTACAATTTAAAAATATTTTTACAAGATACAGAGTGTCCCAAATAAATAAAAAATATCAAAGTTGTATTTTTTTAAATGGAACACCCTGTATATTATTACATTTTTAGTTTCTACGATTAAAATAAAGGTAAATTTGATTAAGGTTTATTATACTTAAACCTTACCGTTTTTGAAATATTTTCAATTTTGTGAAATTACAGTAAAAATTTTAAAGCTTCCTTTCTCCAAGGGTATCAATGTTTTTAATACTAAATATTTAATGAAGTTTATTTATTGATCAGTTAATGTGTTTCAATAATAAAAATAATACTGCCTTATACAGAGTGTCTAAAAATTTATTTTAAATAATTATTAGCTTCAAACGGCAATAACTTCTTTAATTTAAATGGAATGCTCTGTATATTTTAGGAGAATCAGATGCACAATTAAATTGTTTATCAAATTGTATTATACCATTTTTTACCTATCCCTTGAAGTTTTCGTAGAAAATGCATTTTCTTATAATTTAGACCTCATTTATCAATATATCTATGGAATATTGATATTTTAGATTGTTTTTAAAGCAACAAATGTACAAAATGTACAGAGTAGTAATATTATCGTTTTTAGCAAAACGATAATATTACTAGCCCATTTGTATGCAAAAAGAAAACTATTTAAATCTTTATAAAAGAGTATACCATTAATTAAATATAACACCATTATTTCCGCCCATATACTAATTAATGACATACTTAATTGTGTTCGTTAAAAATTATTATAAATAAATGTGGATTTGAGTCAGAAATCAATATAATAATAAGTTATCAAATTAAAGTCTCTGTTGTTATAAATAAGCATTTATTAAAAAATAAAATATCATTTTTAAGGTGTTACTTTTTATCACACTGTCTAATGCCCATACAAAATTCAGTTTTTTAGTATTTGTAGCAATTATTATTAATCAACGCAAACAGTCAGTTAATGTAGTTTGAATACTGGAATCATATTAATTGGTCCTCTTTAACAAATATTTAAACAGTTTTTTTTTATTTTTTAATGAAATAAACGAATTATATCGACAATATTAGTATCTGTACTCTTTAAAAATTTGGTACATCTTCAAAAATAATCTAAAATATCAATAGTCCATGGGTATATTGATAAATAAGTTCTAAATTACAAGAAAATGCATTTTCTACGGAAACTTAAAGAGATATGTAAAAAATGGTATAATATAATTTGATAGACAATTAAACTGTGCATCTGATTCTCGTAAAATATACAGGGTGTTCCATTTAAATTAAACAAGTTATTGCCGTTTGAAGCTAATAATTATTTATTTAAAATAAATTTTTAGACACTTTGTATAAGGTAGTATTATTTTTATTATTGCAACACAATAACTGATCAGTAAATAAACTTCAGTAAATATTTAGTATTAAAAACTTTGATACCCTTGGAGAAATGAAGCCTTCAAATTTTTACTGCAATTTCACAAAATTGAAAATATTTCAAAAACGGTAAGGTTTAAGTATAATAAACCTTAATTAAATTTACCTTTATTTTAATCGTAGAAACTAAAAATGTAATAATATACAAGGTGTTCCATTTAAAAAAATACAACTTTGATATTTTTTACTTATTTGGGACACTCTGTATCTTGTAAAATTATTTTTAAATTGTACCTCTAATACTCCTTCATCGAACCCAAAACTTACAATTTGTAAAAATCTCATCGTTTAGCTACAATACTCCGTGTCGTATGTGGTGAACAACCCTGTATATTATTTCGTATATTTTTCATTTTATGGATTTTATGGATAGCACTGTTCATTAAAATGTTGTATCCTATGTTATAGGGCTTGTTTCTCTCTACAATTTCCTGTTTCACAATGTACCGTTTGTGTCAGGGAAGGGTTCATAGTTTCATAGTTGTCGATTTTCGAAAGAAATCAGTACATGTATATTATTTCGTATATTTTTCACTTTATTGTTCCAAAAATCTTGGTTCCGGAAACCCTAGTTAATAACCTCGGGCAGTTATTGTCTTAAGTTAAAGTTTAATAATCGTCAATGTTCTAGGCGTGGTACTCTTAAGACCTATCCATTATTTTGTATTAAAAGTTTAAAAATAAAAAGTAATAACAACTTAGTAAGAATTTAATTATAAAAAAAATAAAGAATAACATTCCCAACAAGTGGTGATACGAGTCAAATAGAGAACTACAACATTTGGTGGCAGCGACTACAAGATTGGTGACGACGGTGGTCCAATCCAGGATCACGACACGGTGTGTGTTTATTTGGCTATTCTATTTCCTTTGGTTTGGGAAAAATAAAACAAGTATAGATATACGTTTCGTAAATATGTATATTACTTTATTTAATATGTGCAACAATCGTTAATGTATAGTGTGTTAAAAAAACCTGGAGTCGTTTGGAAACATTATATTTTGTTACGGATTTAAATCATCAATGTTGAAGATGTTCTAAGTAACTAATGTTTGAATATTTTGTTGAAATGCTTGTCTCGAATAAAAAAATTCTGGGCAATATAAAGTAAATATCTCTATACCGGGTGCGTCTCAAAACTGGCTTACCCCTATAACTTTTTTGTTTTTTCAGAAAAAAAATCGAAAATTGGTATGTTAGTATATGACATAAATTAGGATTGATTAACGTATTCAATTGTTTTCGATCACTTCCTGTTTCAACGGAAATGACTACAACTTTTAATTTTTAAATGGCACCCTCGGTATTTTGTTACTTTATTCGATAGAAAATGACACTCTCAATAGAATGACGTGTCATATGTCAACTTTTGACATTTTTAAATATGGTTTATTTGAAATTGCAACATGCGACTCATAACGACAATTTGACTCGAAATACCAAGTGTGTGGTACCAAATTATTCGTAAAAAAAACTTTTTCCAAATATGCTAACGAACCACCCTCGTTCCATTTGAAAAAATGGAGATATGATTAAAAATATGATTTGGGCTCTCTTTTAACCGGCCAGGACAAGCTACTTAAAACATTAGACGATCAAATCTATTTTTCCAAGGCTCCTTGATTAAAAATTAGTGTTCTTAACATAGCCATGGCACCCTAGATAGAAATTTAAAATGCTTTTTTTAATTGAAAAAGTTGACATATGATATGTCATTCTATTCAGAGTGTCATTTTCTATCGAAAAAAGTAAAAAAATACCGAGGGTGCCATTTAAAAATCAAAAGTTGTAGTCAGTTCCGGTAAAACAGGAAGTGACCGAATAGGATTGAATACGTCAGTCAATCCTAATTTATGTCATATACTAACATACCAAATCTCGTCTTTTTATCTGAAAAAATAAAAAAGTTATAGGGGTGAGCCACATTTGATACATACCCGCTATATGTCAAATTTTCAAGAATTTCTGAATACACTATACATTTTTATTATTTACAATAGATCTATATTGGTACACATTACCTACTTTTGCATATGTCTTACATATTATTTATTATAATTTTATATGAATTTATACGGGGTGAGCCTTAAATAATCCGTATCTTTTTTTATATTAACTTAGAAGTTTGATTCTTTTACAGCTTAAGGGACTGTTGTAGACCTGAGTAATATAGGTTTTAACTTCAACTCTATATCTCCACGAGTTCTCGAGATAAAGGGTATTGACAGAAAAATTAAGCAAATGTTTTTTATAATTTTCGAAGTAAAATAACATTCTATTTTGGACATTTGGAAAAATGACAAAGAGAATATATATTACTTATTTTATTACTTATTTTAGACTCGCTCTGTATAATATTTCTTGATCTATGCAAATATTCGGATATAAGAGAGAGGAAAAATATGTTTATTAGCTTTTATAACGTGAAAAACACTAAGGTACGTTTAAAAAAATACTTTTACACGTCGTGATATGGATAAATCTGTGGCATTTATGTTTTTCTTTGTACTTTTAGTGCTTATAAATAATTAAATATTCGATAACATGGGCGCCGAACGTTGAGGGCTCTCAGAACTTTCATTTTTCACCTTCTTTCAAGCTTTTCCTCGTGCCTAGACGCTTTAAAAATTATGCAATACTGCAATGTGTCCTAGAAAAATATTTATAAATCTCTATTCCATCTTAAATAGAACAAAGCTACTCTTAGAAAAAGAAACGCTGCAGAAGCAGTCACAAGAATGGCTTCAAAA